ATACGATCTTTAGAGAACGCATTTGCAAACAATATGTAATGCTTGCGATGTAATGCTTGTAGATAATGATTATACTGTATATGAAATAATAGTTATTTTTATTTTTTATTTTTTTTATTTTGTTTTTTTAATTTTTGATTAAATTCTCTAATATATTCTCTAATATATTCTCTAATGTATTCTCTAATATATTTTCTAATATATATTTAATATATTCTCTAATATATTTTCTAATATGTTCTCTAATACTGTATATTCTCTAATATATATTTAATATATTCTCTAATATATTCTCTAATATATTCTTTAAAATAGTTTCTAATATATTCTTTAATATAGTTTCTAATATATTCTTTAATATAGTTTCTAATATATTCTCTAATTTTTTTTATATATATAAACAATATAAGTAATATTATATTTCCATATATATATAATTTTTTCTAAAAAATTTATATATTTACATCTTAATTTATAAGATTTATCTTGTGGGTAAATTTCATGAAATTCATGTTTATATCATGTTTATTTCATGTTACTTCATGCCTAGAGTCTAATAAACTTTATGCAGAGACGAGAAAAATTTTTTAAACGTAAGATGTAGATCATGTATGCTTACTCATTAATAAATGACGGCGATGCCCGAGTAAAATGGATCGCTTCCCCCCGATTTGGGAGTGTTATCGTCATCTATTAGCGGAGAAGAGCTTTCACAACATGACGTCGCCGTAATGCATCAAGAAAATCTACGTTTAACCATTACATAATAGTTTTTTTAAAAGATCGTCACTTAATACTAAAAGAGGACTCACGTGAATGGTTTAGAGTATTACGTTATTCGTTGTGTTTTTTTTTCGTGATTAGATTACTTCGACGCGTAAATAAATGTTTTGGTAATTCTGTAATTCGGTAATTGTGATTCTGTAATTGTTAAGTTTTTTTGTTTTCTTTTTTATTTGTTTTTGCATTGTTTGCAAATCTCAAATCTCGTAATTATTTTCCTTATTTTTCTTTATTTTCAAATGTAAATATTTATTTATCAGATGCAGGGGAAAAAAAAACTCAATTTATAACAGTTACTTTAGTTACTTTGATTCATTTCATTTCATTTCATTATTTCGATTTCGTCATTTAGATTTTATCATTTCAATTTCATCAGTTCATCATTTCAATTCAATTATCTTTGCGGCCAGTAAAAGTTTTTATATAAAAGGACTCAACAAATCGCCTACCCAATCTGTTTTTTGTCAACAAAATAAATATTCTATATTCATATCGTTCTTTTCCCTAAACTTGCTGTCTCTCCAGAGGGCTCTGCAAATTTAGCGTGTATGTACACTTCTTCTTTTGTCATATGATATATATATATATATATATATATAAATAACGGTTTAAAAAAAAAAAAACTTTACATAAATAAAATAAAAAGATATAGAAATAGAAATAAAAAAAAAAAAAAAGTATATATATATACCATACCTCCATAGTTTACTCTCCGTAGTTTACTCTCTATAGTTTACTCTCCATAGTTTACAAAAAAAGAAAAAACACACTTTTTTCGATACATAAAACAATAATAATAATAATCAATTTCTCTTTTTATCTTTCCCCTTTATTAGGAGAAAAAAGAAACTCGGTTTTTTTCTCGTTATCGAAAAATCATTTTATTTTTTTCAGTTAGTGGTAAAGTATCTTTTTTATTTTTCTTCGCGTTAACTTGAATATATCGTGAGTGAAAAGAAAGTTTCAAAAAAATATCGATAGCTGATAGTTTTATTAGATATAATAGTTTTTGAAAATGATTTGTTTTTTTTTTCACCCGAAAAAAAAATAAACTTTATTTTTTTTAATATACAAACTGTCGATAAAAAAAAATCAACAGTTTCATTACCCTTATTAGCATTAGTCACGGAGGTTTTTTTTATCAAGGCCTCTTATGGTTTTTTATGATGATCATACTAGTTTCTGATCATAATTTGATAACCTCACTAATCATTTATGCCGACATTGTTACCCTGGTTTCCCAGTATGATCTTATCCCCCATTTCTTTTTTTTCCCACATTTATTTTTTTGATTTTTTTTTTTTTTTCTTTTAATCAGACTTTCATTCACTATAAATTCACTGTAAAAAAAAAAATTCACTTTTTCAACAAAAAATACTAAAACTAATTTCTATCTATTTTTACAGATAGATTTCTTTTATAACTAGTTAGATCGTTTTATTATGACCGAACTCGAGACCACTACCTCTAGTTTAGTAGGAATGTCTGACTGGCATTTACGCATGAATAATAATAATAATAGTCGTAATTATTATCCACCACAACATCATCAACCAACTCATCACCATCAACCGCAACAACAAGCATCACCGATGCATCAACAACAAGCTTCTCCACAACAAACTCACACTCATTATCGACATTTGCCTCCTATTGGAACTCATGTTTCGGGACCTAGCAATAATAATGGTTTGATGGGTTCACACACTCCTATCGCGTATAATGCCAATCAATACTCCCAAACTTCGATAAAGACTGAATCGAATTCAACCCAGGTCAACAATACGTCTTCAAATGTGTCATCAGGAGTTGCTACATCCATGGATGCCTTTGCTAATAGAAAATCCTCGGCTACGACTACTCCGATCACATCACCAACAAAAAATCCTCAAGATCTCGTGATTGAAACACATGTATCTGGAAAACCACCCTATTCGTACGCAACCTTGATTACTTATGCCATTACAAATTCTCCCAATAAACAACTTACATTAAACGAAATTTACAATTGGGTTATGGAGAATTATCCTTACTATAAGACCGCTGGTACTGGTTGGAAGGTACGCGTTAAGATCGATATTATTCTAGTTATTAATATTATATTAATATTAATATTAAGTTATTAATATTATAAATATTATATTAAGTTATTAATATTATATTAATATTATATTAATATTATATTAAGTTATTAATATTATATTAATATTATATTAATATTATATTAAGTTATTAATATTATATTAATATTATATAAATATTAATATTCTAATTATTCTAATCACTAATGTACATTTATACATAATTTTTTATAGAATTCAATTAGACATAATTTGTCTTTGAATAAAACATTTGTTCGTGTTCCACGTCCGATCAATGAGCCAGGTAAAGGATCATACTGGACTGTAGATTTTAGAGCAGCCGAAGCTGAACAACAGCATCGTTCTCGAAGTCGTAACAACAGATCTTCAAGTGATCCAACTCCTTATCATCGTCCAGAATCATCATGGTATGATAATCGTAGATACCGTGAACCAATGACTGCCATGACTGAAATGGGTCGTCCCTACTTTGACGTAAATCAGTATGGTGGTATGCCGAGCATGCCATACCGACCAATTCGTTCACCTCGTTATACTCATGCAACTATGGGACAACCTTACCTTCCAGCACAAGGAATTGGAGGTGGTGCCGGTATCACTAGTACTCCACAACAAACAATGTCTTATGCCGGTGCTGGCATCGGTAATCTTGCTGTAACTGCCAATTATGATCTTACTGACTATACGAACATTCATGGCCATCCTACCGCTACCGCTCATGTAGACGGACATAATGCTACCGCTTTTAGTGGATACAGCACTCATCCAATTTATCAACCACAGATGTCAACACATCCAACAGATACCAATACAGCGGTGGCTCATTCCTCTTTTGTTTAAGAGTGTAATGTGAGCAAGATTTGGAATTGTCTTTACATAAAAACAAAACTAAAAAAGAAAAAAATCCAAAAAAATCCAAAAAAAAAAATCCCCCAAAAAAATCCAAAAAAATAATAACAACCTGTACAGTAATTTTACATAAAATATATATAGTATATAGCTTAATAGGAACAAACTAATTAGGGTTTTTATGGCTTATATATGTAAGCTTAAGCTTTACATATATAAAAGAGTTTATGAGCGCTCACCTATGACTTTTAAAGTTTTTATGTCTGCTTCTTTGTATTTTTTTTTTTTTTCTCTTGGTTGTATAAATTGCTAAAATGCAATTTTTAATTTTCTTTTTTCTTCTCTGGCTTTCAAAAAAAAACTTCATTTCATTTCTCTGGCTAAATCTGAATATATATTTTTTTTTTCTTTATATACAATTTACATACCTAAATTAGTCTAGTATTATATATATATTTTTTTTCTTTTAGTTTTATATACTCTTTCACATTATTGTTCATTATATTTGTCTCGTTTTTCTTTTCGTAGTATTTTGCATATTTGGTTTTTTTTTTCCATTTTTTTTTCGCGTCTCTTTTCTCTTTATGATACGATGTACGGATGAGGTTGTTAGTGGTTAGGAACTTTCGATTAAAAAAAAAAGGAGAATCATGATGGGAATTGACCAAAGCGCGTAAAAAAAAACTTGTGAAAAAAAAATTCAAAACCTTTTAAACCATTACAAAATTACCAACATCATTCATTATACACAATACATTTACTACTACTTACTACTACTACCACCTTTTATATACATTGTAATAATTTGCAAATGATGCTGGATGAGATTGTTTATATTATAATTAAAATCACAAACAAAAAAAACGAAGATTTTTTTTTTATTTGTATTCATAATCTCTATTTTTTTTTTTTTTTTTTTTTTGCTATTGTTTATTAATACTTAATACTTAATATCAATGAAAAAAATATATATATACAACTTTAACGTGTATCTGCTCTTTGATTGAATTTTTTATTTTTTTGAATGTTTTTTTCAAATTTACAAATGAAATGATGAAATGAAACTATGAAATGATGAACTGATGAAATTGAAATGATAAAATCTAAATGACGAAATCGAAATAATGAAATGAAATGAAATGAA